GAATAAATAAAATATAAAAACAGATTGGCTAAAAAAGAAGTCTAAGCAGTACAAATCGCAATTTCGATATTTCGTTGGAAAATCTTGTCTCCAAAGACTAAATAATGCCAAATAAGACAATAAATATTGCCAAGGAGGCTCTCCAGAATCCTTTTAATATGATCTACAGAGTAATAGTGTGTAGAATGAAAATGAGTTTTATCAAATTAATTTAAATAATCCAATCATGAGATACCGAATATTTCCGATTTATTTTAAAGAAGACGTACATGTAGTTGTCAATGCTATCAAAATGCATAGTTTTTAATCTATATATTATGAGGAATGAGTGTATAAAGTGAAAAAATAGTATTTTTTGATGTAATTTACCTTTAAAAATATTTAAAAATATTGATTTTGACTTTTAAAAAGAATTTTAAAGAAAGTTTGTTTCTTTAAGATTTTTTTAAAAATCTTAATCTAAATGCTCTTAAATATTAATGTGCTTGTCCAAGTACGTGTAAAGTTCCTCTTTTACATAAGGTTAAAATTTATATAAGGAATGAAGATAAAGTCTTGGTAGTGCAATGTACCTTTGTAAAGATTATGTGAAGTTTAGGAATCTGTGGTTTAGGTAGAGTAGATCTAGATCGTGCAACCTTGCTAGACTGCAATAACTTAATGTTTTTAATGACATAGTCATTGTATCTACCATAAAATCTGTGAAATGTGACTTTAAACGAGACTAAAAATATCTTTTTTCATAACTTTTCTCTTTTTAGTAAGTGTTTGTAGGTAGAGCATGTAATTGCGTAATCAAATGAATTGGGACCGAGACGTAAAACTTCATATGCACGTGATATAGGTTTATTGCTATATAAAATCAAATCCTAGTTCCTCTAAAAAAAAATTAAAGCAAGAAATAATGACTTTTCTTCATCCCATAACTACGAAAGCCCAGAAGGCTCATTCGAGATTCGAGTTTCAAAGTACGAGATTCGAAATTCGAGATTCGAAATTCGAGTTTCGAGATTCAAGATCCAAACTAACCAATCAGAAGCGAGTTTCAAAGTACGAGATTCGAAATTCGAGATTCGAAATTCAAGATCCAAACTAGCCAATCAAAAGTGGGTTCAACATTTGATTACTCTCCTTTATTATGTTTTTACTATGAAGAAATCGTTTAAAATAATTATAACAAATGGGTCATTTAATTATATTACAATGCAAGAAAGTGTGTAATATATTTTAGAAGGAAATTTTAATAATTTTTGGATTTTTGATCAGAAGGATATACTTCAATCTATATTATAGCTTCTTAAATATTAAAAAGATTACTTATATCATGAGTATATATATATATATATATATATTTGTATTGTCTTCTAAACTTAATTTTTATGTATTTCCCCGCATAAGAAAACCAAATGTACTTGTGGACAGGGCACCCCCCCCCCCCACCTCGATATTCAACCCCAGGGCTTATTGGACTTTTTTTCACAACATATATCTAATACACTTATTCATCGTGTGTTCAAAAAAATCGTAAAAACCCAGAATAATCGCTCAACACAAAAAATACCCCACTATAAATTATAAGAGAGAAAATATGCCACAAGCACTCCAGTTTGTTTACGTTGTACGCCCGCTGCTATTTCTAGGTATAAAACCATGCATTTATTTTAACTTAAAATGTTGATTAAAATTAACTATCTCTACATATATTTCTGTCTTAGTCCATGCTATCGGATTGACTCTGCATCTCGTAATAATCCCACATTTTCTCCTTAAATGACACCTCTCTTGTATAGTGGGGTGGGGTAATGTATAGTGGGTTTTTTTTGGTTAAACGATTGGGTTTTACGCTCGTGATGTTTTCGTATTGTACACATTAATTAGTGTAATAAATATAATTTGTTAAAAAAAAATGTCCAGTAAGCCCTGGTATTGAATATCGAGGGGGGGGGGGGGGGGGGGGGGAGGGGGGTGGGGGTCCTGTCCACAAGTACCTGTGGTTTTTCTTATGCGCGGAAATACAAAAAAAAATAAGTGTAGAAGATAATACAAAAGTATATATACTCCTGATACATGTAATCTATTTAATATTTAAGAAGCTATAATATAAATTGAAGTATATCTTGCTGCAAAAATCCAATAATTATTAAATTTCCTTCTAATATATATAAAACACTCTTTTTTGCATTGTAATTTAATCAAATGACCCATTGGTTATAATTATTTTAAACGATTTCTTGATAGTAAAAACATAATAAAGGGGAGTAATCAAATGTTGAATCCGCTTTTGATTGGTCAGTTTGGATATTGAATCTCGAAACTCGTATTTCGAATCTCGTATGTTGAATCTCGAATCTCGAATGAGCCTTCTGGGCTTTCGTACATAACCCAACGCCATCGATTGCTGATTAAAAAAAAATTAAAATTAACAAATATGAAAAATAGGACTTTTAATGATTTGTAATAAATTAGGATAAAAAGAATGAATTACACGTAACTCTAATTTACTTAGTTTTATACATTTTTGAGGATTTGAAAAAAACTAAAAGCTCCCATGTTTAAATTTTGTCCAACATATGAAAACGTTTGTGACTGGCTTGATCTTTGTGAATTATGACTGAATAAACATTGTTCAGCATACTGTAATTAAGAGCGATTGTATAAAGTTCATCACTCCAAATCTGTTAAGAGGAAAAAGTAAAATATTATTCTTGATCATTCACATCTATGAGAGTCTTCTATCGAATCTTAAGAAAAAATAACAACAAATGATCGATCAAAAAAGTATCCATTAACAATACCATCTGAACTAAAAAGTGATCAATAAGTTAAATAGGAGGTGCACAATGACATGATGTAACTAGAGGTACTGTAAGCACTGATGTTAATAAATGATACCCCGCCTTCCATTTGATTAAAATGGCAAAGTCCATGTTTGGCCCTGGGAGACCCAAAAATAATTGTAGATCAAAAAGTATAATAGGAGGTGAACTATGGTATTATGTAGTAAAGAATTTGTGAAAGTATCATTAATTATTCAGCAGTATAGTAGGATTGCATATAAGAAATGGGCAAGATTCAATATTATAGAAAGAACGGCAATGTCCATGTTTTGTTACGTTAAAACCCCAAGATATGTGTCGAATCAAAAAGTAAAATGGTTGGTCACAATGGCACTATGTAACAAAGATTCTACGAAAGGACGTACAGACGGACGGATATCCCTAAAACTATATACCCTCCCAATTTCCATAATTAGCCTTAAATGTCACTTGCTTAAATACATCTGGAAAATAAGATGGATTTCTAGAGGAAGAATTATAACCATCTTCTTAATTTCGTTTATGATAATGACTAATGAGCCTTACATAGAAAGACGAGGACTATGGCATACCGGTATTGTTCAAGTAGTATAAAGAATTCTGTTATCATCTCTGATTTAGTGAGACGAAAGGGTAGATTAAAAATTTTGATAGCATATTATAATAAAATACAAATTTAAACACTTGAAAGGCATGGATCTATATCTTATCTTAATCAATTTTCGCGATATTATTTAAATGGCGTTAAGATAAACATTTACCGGACAATTACGATATCGCAGAGAAGACCCTTTCAAAGGAGTGTAGCATCGCTCATTCCTGTTAATGTCCTGCCAGAGGCATGGTTGGGAAAATAAACTTGCTTTGTCCTACGCGTCCTACTGACATTGAAATCACCATGGTTAAAATTATTTTTCCGTTTTATTAAGTCTATATTCAGAATGTGTCTTGGTCATGTTATTAAATGGCATGTACAAAAATTTTCTGATTCACACAAACAATATTTATTTGCATTTCTACGTTGAACGATATATACCCCTTTGATCCCCCTCCCGATTCAGACATGATTAGATATTTCATTAGAAATGCACTGTATTGGTAACATCAAAACTTTATGATAAACCCGATGACACCAACTTTTATCTCTACAACTTCTCCATTTAATAGCAAAATGCCCTTAACAATCATACATGCAGTTACATGTAATGTCTCTCAGTTGATTATATACACAAGAACATCCTCTACATACGGACAATTTATAACAATTTGTAAAACGATGCATGTTATTAACAAATAAGTTGATGAAACCAAGATATCAACTGTCTCATTTGACAATACAAATTGAAAATGCAATGGTCAATACAAAGAGCTTGTCAACTAATTTATTCCAACATTTAGTTGAATGTTGATTGCCCTTTTCATACAAATAATTATGTCATTCTTTTTACTCTTGGAATGTCTAAGGATTTTATCTGATTGACTGATCGTGACGAAGGATCACGCGGCGGGTTTGACCGGTTTACAGGGGATGCTGACTCCTATCTGGCACCTGAATCCACCCCTGCTGTTTTTAGAGGTCCGTGCTTACTCTATTCCCAGATTATTTCATTAATTCAATGGATGTCTGAGCTGGATAACTGTTCTCTTTGCATTTTATTGCGTATTTTTTTAAAAAAAAAAAAAGGGGAAAAAGACAAAGTTTTTCCATCTGGTTTGCCAGATCATTCTGATTTTTCATTTTTCGATATAACTATTTCTGACCCGTGGGGCATAGGGTTGGCTCACATTGATAAGTTGCACCTAGGCGTGTATATGTAGTAGATCTGCATTAGACATTCATTTTCAGGATAATGTTTCTTTGAAGATCATAGCAATTCCACATAAGTCAATTTATTCGTAAAAAAAATGCTAAAACGTCTTTTTTATTTCTCTATGTGAAATGCATTCGCGTTAGTGTCAGTTAAATATACATAAAAATGTATCAGTAAAAGAGTAAAAAATAGTATTTAAAAAAATAGTAAAAAAGAAAACCAATCAAAAACAAACACATAAAAAAAATATTGGCAAAGAATGATAATAAACAAGATTTTAGAATAAAAATAGCATATCGAAAGTTTAAGAAGAAAATACAGCACTGAAGCGTGAAATACGTCCGACTCCGAGGAAATATAAATACCATCTGAAAAGCTACCCGTCAGATTCAGTGAGTTCCGTCAATCAGCATGAAGAGATTGATAATCTTGTTCTCTGTCGTCTGCGCTGTGCAGATGGTAACAGCAATGTACATTGATAAGAAGGTATGCTTTTTGTTTTTTTTGTTTTTAAATTCTTAATATTTTTTTGAACAAATTATCAGTATGCAGCTTACAAAAAAATAAAATGAATTTTTTACAAAAGTAAGGGATATACTTAAATTAATTCTTTTTAATGTTTGTAACATATGAAAATAACGAATGGAGGATAACCTGTTACTATTCAATTAATACTTTTATAAGTTAATACATGTTTGGTATGTATTAAATGAATGACAGTATTCTTTGAAACAAAGTATTTTGCAGGAAGTTTAAGAATATTTGGTTTATTCGGTCGAAAAAAGATTAGTGCTTTGTTAATTCTTTTTATTCATATTTCAAGCAATCGTAAAAAGTTATCAAATATCTTTAGTTTTGCATGCATGCACATTTTCTTCACAAAGAAAATTGTTCATATCTGAAATTTAATGAGTATACCTAGATTCTGAAATGCGAAAATTTTAAAGTTTACATCAATATAACCCCTTTTTTCTTATGATGACGCAGTTTAATCAAATTCACAGAATTTAAATATTTTTCTTAATTAAATATAAATAGGTTCAGCATGTTCCCCTTGAAAGACCATTATAACGTGTACGTACACTATTATCATAAGTAATTATGAGCATTTTGGATCGTTCAGAGACAGTTCTCAAAGGTTCTCAAAGATGGGAAACCGAAGAGGCGTCCGTTCATTGAACTAGACTTGTACTCGTATTGTTCAATCTAAATATATATACAAGATTTTGGACAGGGAAAATAATAAGTATCCTAAGGCCTAAGACTATCTGCTTTATCAAGTTCACAAAGGTTAAGACAATTCAAGAGAGATACGATCACGGGTAGGATAAAAATTACCTTTTTAAAAATTCCTTCGTGGCTTGCCAGGTGTAACATTAAAAGAAATTAATATACCCCGTGTCTTTTCTAAAATTAATATACCCCATGTCTTTTCTAATGGTTGTGTGTAACTCATTAGCAAAAGGCGTTTACATTAACATGTAAAAGAAGATGCTGAGATGATTGAAAACCTAAATGAAAGCTGTAAAAGCCTACAGATGCATAAAAGTTCAGAAAAAGAAAAGTTTTCTTCGAGTCAGTTTGAACATTATTCTTTGATCTCTCTAAGGTGACAAAGATAAAATAAGGTGAGGCGTTCAACCTCTTTATAACACACAAACACCGATTAAAAATACATGACTAGTTGTCTCTATGATTTTTTTTTACTTTGGTAAACATTGCAAGATAAAAGAATATTACATGTAAAATTGCATTTTTTTAAAAAGTTGATAAAAAATTTTCTTCATTAGTGAAGTAGCTTTATTAACAAGTTTTTTTTTATATTTCTTTTTAATTTAAAAAAATCAATTAGTCCCGTCTTTGCTTACTATTTGTCTTTTCAGAAATAAATTTTCACAAAAAAGAGAGAAAACATTTATAATAGAATTTTTCTTGTTCAAATTGTCTTGTTTCAATAAACAACCTTTAACCATACCAGCTCGATTATTTTTCTGACATCGCAGCTGGCAGTTTGATAATCATCTGAAAAATTTAATGATTTCATGGTCATTTGAGCAACAAGGATGTATGTATACTTATTATAAAACAGAGAGAGAGAGAGAGAGAGAGAGAGAGAGAGAGAGAGAGAGAGAGGTTTCAAGTGTTCCTAACAGTTTTCTAAATATATCCCCTGAACTATTGATACCTATACCTGTTCATTAGAGCATGAAATTGGTAAATATTAATATGCTCCATTGATTTGATGATAATGGTTTTTCACTCAATCCATTCAACATACTTTTATAAACAACCATTCACAATTATCATATTAATAATGAAGCCAGAAATTTTCTGGGGGAAAGATAAGCATTTCAAATATACATTGTAATGAATAACGTATAAAAGCAACTTACATAAGTGGGCCTTAACCCATGATCCAAAGTACAAAAAAAAGTATTTTGGAAACAGTTTCACTTCTTATTTGTCCAGTTATACCGCTAATCGTTTGACTGCTAGATGCACATGAGCAGGGGTATCCAATAAATGTGCAAGAAGGTTTTAGAATTTTCAGTTTCTCTGTGTGGCCAAAATGAGGGTCGAATAACATCCTGATACCCAAATCTTCTAAAGAATGTTTTGATATTATTAAATCATCATAGATCTGTTACAGTGTCTTCTTCCTTTCAAAATTTCAAATTCATCCTGCAGATGTGCAATTAGGGTTCGGAATTTGATTTTCACTTCGATGCCAAAAATCCTTAGTAAAATAAATATGTATTTTTTACTTTTATATATATATATATATATATATATATATATATATATATATATATATATATATATATATATATATATATATATATATATATATATATATATATATATATATATATATATATATATATATATATATATATATATATATATATATTAGTAAAATAAATATATATTTTTTATTTTACGATTTAGTATTTTATATATATATATATATATATATATATATATATATATATATATATATATATATATATATATATATATATATATATATATACTCCTATAGATAAAGTGTATTGTTCTATTGTAATACCCGTATCGGTGAACCGTATGTCCAATGTATGACTTAACGTAAAGATATATATAAAGCTTCAAGGTAACTAGTGACCATTCGGAGGCAAGCACTTTTGTACAGATATATTACAGATTCTAGTGTACGTCTTTTCAATGTTTCAATGATCTGTAACAAGGTCATTATTTCTTTTACAGAATGCAGAGGAAAAGTCAATGAATAAAAGAGAGAAAATTTTGGAGCTGGTATTTTAGAGATATATTTATAACATATTTCATTTTTTTTTATTTTTACCTACCGTATTCTTGTCTAACAGTTTAAAAACTACATGTACATAAACAGTGGGGTATTTATTGATAAAATTGTTTTTTTGTTTTGTTTCAAAAGACATTCTAGAGTAAAAAAAGATGGATCTGAGTAAGAGTACAAAACGATTATTTTGTTCCCAGGGTCTCATGTTGTATTATTTCAAAAATTAAGAATATAATCATCAAATTTAAAATAGAAAAGTTAAAGAATGTTCGTATATATTACTAAAGCTATCTTTATATTGTAGCTAAGGCTTCTTAAGAGGAACTTTCCTTCAGACGACAGCAAGAAAGCCACAGAAGAAGGAATTTCATTCAAACTAGCAACACAAGAGGTGAAAATTATATTTTAAGACATCTATTATCGTTTTAGCCATGATAATTATTACAATATATTTCTTCATACAAAAAGGTGATTTAGAAGAAAGCAGGTACCAAGAAATAAAAAAAAAACAACCTGGAACGCACGAAATGTTCAACATGATATGAACATGTCTTTATTTCATACATTATTTAACTTAAGTCGAAAGCAACATGCATTTTCTCATACCAAAAGATCAAACTGGTTGTCCAAGGATGTTAGGCCGAAGGCAAATAGTTAGGGTAGAGCTAGATCGAGGGATCAGAGTAACGCATTCTTCCAGAGAACACAGTCAAGTATTGTTTTTGTCATACCTTTAAAAATGTGTCTATGTATATTCTTACATTTCCAATGCTTTACTTAGCATTCATAAAAAAATCAATGTTTGACCGCGGAGTGAGAGATTGAACCTGAGATTTTGGACCGCTTACGTCATACAATGGGCGGGATCAGTTTCATGTCAACTGCAATCATTTGGGGTCGACAGACGTAATAAATTGAGCTTAACCTCAGTACTGGCAAAGGGAATTTACATCACGGTAACATAACACAAGATACAGGACGTAATAAAAATAAGAGGGATAACAAAACATTTATTGACTGTTTTTGGGGGCAAAATGCATTTTGTCGACCCTCGAACCAAGCTGTTTTCCTTAGGACTAACGGATTTTGGAAGCAGTTAAGTCCTTGGGTCTAAAAAGCGCATGTTGGCCTAAAACCCAGTCAAATAAATAAATGTATCTTCTGATACTTTGTATACAACTCCCCCACTTGAAAAACAGGAGGGTATATAGTGATCTGGATATTCGCTCGTCCGTCTGTCACGCTTTGGGGTACTTATTAGCAACTCCCTTATACCTCTGCATGGAATTTATAATGAGACTTTCAAAGAATCACTGCTATAGAGTGCTATTGTGCACCCCCTTTTTAAATTTTTAATTGGACACATATTTCTGATTTTCCATAGCAAAACATTGACACTGCCATTCTTTCTAAAATATTGAAGGGTACCTATCTCTTATCCGAATTTCTTCTATAACACACTAAATAAAATTTAAAGAAACTTTCATTTTGATCTGACACTTCTTTCGGGTCTCCCAGAGCAAAACATTGACTTTGCCGTATAATCATATGGGAGGCGGGGCCTATCATTTAGTGACCCCTGTGTTCACTGTACCTCTAGTTTCTTTTCTTTTTTTTTGACATATTTTATGCTGGTTTCCCTGTTTTTGATCGATGTAAATTTCGTACACCTGCATGGATTTAACTCGGTCAATTCCGTCGAATACAGGAATGCAAACAAGAATGAAACCACCTTTACAGTTTAAAATGTGAATCGTAACATAGCAGTCCTATATCTCATCCAACAGTCCAACATCAATTCTTTAAAGCTCAGTAAAATATTGGAAATGTTAGAATTTTTAAAGTATTGATAATATGGAAAATAATTGTTTATCATGGTGCAACAATTATATTTATACATAGCTAGGTATATTTTTGTCTCATCCTATTTCAATAATATTTAATAGAAGACGTTTTATGATCGTGCTTACAGGAAGCGAAAACAGAATTGAACAGACGAGGAAACTCCGCAAGATTAATGGATGGCAGGGAAATTAAACCTGCTGATATGGCACCGGCGGTAAGAAAAAGACATGCTACCTTTATGAATGGAAATCTCCAACTTGAATATTAAAGTATATCATAATTAGATAAATGAATATAATATAAATAATGAAAAAAAATCTCTTCATTGATTATTTACTTATTTAAAGCTAAAAACCAATAAATATCAAAAGCAAACATTGCCTTCATTTGCTTTGAATATGCAGATCTCATTTGGGTCATGAAATTTTATTTTACAAAAGTGTGTCAATAGAACTTGAAAAAGATTTTTTTGTTTTAACATCCGTGTAGCATTCCGTGGAGAAGAAGGCGCTGTCTACAGAGGCACAGGAGTTCTTAGACTCTCACAACGCCAAGCGGCGGATCGTCAGTCCCACAGCAACAAACATGAAAGAAATGGTGAGAGAAAAGACCTGCAATACGTCATTGTCTTTAAACTACTGTATTTGATTTGATTTTAACATATCTACCGATCCGGGCGCAAAAAACATCCTTTAACCGTTATCATGCTAGACAATATTAGTGGTACATGATAGAATAATTTTGTAATTCAAATAAAGTAACGGAATACTGGCATCGGCTTTATATTTGACGATGACTCCAAGTTAGTTCAAATGCAACATGAAAACAATAAAGTAAAACACTGCTATATTTAGGGAAATCATAAAATTATTACCTATAATTCTATATCACTGAGCATGAATACAGATATTTGTTTGAAAATGACCATTTTGATTTTGAGTTGACATTGAGATGCTGACCACGCCTACAACGTACAATTCTCTCTCATTTTGACCGGTAGAAGAAAGTGGAGGTGTCCCGATAATTCTTAACGATAATCTCTGACTTTACCCTGAAAATGTTATTTTATGTATGAATGTATATGATGATGAAACCTCGAAATGAACAACTTTTATGTCTAAAAATATTAAAGCGATGTACAAGTGTAGTGAATAATACTTTGACAGCTTTGGAGCACAGACCTTGAAAACCTTGCCAGAAGTTACGCCCAAAAATGCATCTTTGCTCACAACCAACAAAGATCCGATGGAATGCCATATTATGTTGGCGAAAATCTGTATGTTAACTCAGGTACATATAATGAATGTAGACAAGTAAAGGGACTGTTAGAATGAGCGAGTACTGTCTCAGAAAGGTCTTCAACTGTAAGCCCCAAAAGAACAAAACCTGTGAGTTGATGCAAATTCCTGATTCATAAGAAAGAGTTACATTTTATGATCTTGTAGTAGCATTAAATGTACTGTCACATTCTCCAAAATTGTTGACATCGAAAAGAAAAATAAAGTGTTTAGATATATACATATAAAATTTTCCAAATCTGTGACACATGTTACGGCTTAAAGATGCCTATAACTTTTGAAACAAATAAACGCAAGTAAAAGTACTTTAATTACCAAGAGAATTTGATAGACATTTCCACAAAAGGATACATTTCTGTAAATTTTCAGGGAATATATCACCCGATACTGCAGTGACAAGCTGGGACAACGAGAAGAACGACTACTCATTCGCCAACAACTACTGTGATCCCAACAGCGATTGGGGGTGTGGCCACTATACCCAGGTATAAAAAACAAACACCACTTTTTGTCGATGTTGACACTAAACAAAAAAATTTAAGGTGTTATTTCTTGAGAATTTTTCCTCTCTCTATAAGAAGCGATATAAAGTACGTTAAATATATATTACTGATGAATGTTTCACTCATGAACAACAACTCCAGGGATAAAATAAGTGGATTATTAAGCAGCGTTTAAGTACCGGTATTGATAAACGAACATGGGCTTTACAAGAATATGAGGCGATAGTAAATGTATATTTTCTTTTATCATCACAAAACTTTAACTTTTTAATTCTTGGATTTTAGGTTGTCTGGGCAAATTCTGAATACGTTGGATGTGCTAAACAATATTGCAACTCTGTTACGAATTTTGGAAGAGGATATTTGGTTGTATGCAACTATGGCCCTGGGTATGAATTAAATCTTTCAAATCCTATTTACGGATAAATGATGTTGTGTTTTATGATTTGCAATGAATTCAATAAATTGATAATTGAAACATAAGGGCATTTAAAGATAAAACTATTTTTGTTCGATCCTTACAGAGGCAATGTAAATGGAGGGAGACCCTATTCCAGTGGAACAACGTGTAGTAGTTGTCCGTCTGGATACAAATGTTCCAACAAACTGTGCAGCAAATCTGGTAGGAAAACAAATAGATAAGGACCCGTATTTTGAATACATTAATTAATACATATTGACCACGTGCGGTTTGTCTATAATCAAGTAGTACTTGGGTATACACATTTTTATTATTTTTATATGCATGAATAAATTAATTACTGAATGAATATTCCAGTTCAAATTTATACAGTACACACGCTTTTTAAAAGACTTTAACAAGCTGCTATTTTTAGGTGGATCAGGTGGCACAGGGACCAACCCCTGTTCAACAAATCCATGCAAAAATGGCGGCACTTGCAGTTCCAGTTCCGGGACCGCAGTTTGTCAATGTACGAGTGGATGGACCGGAAGCACGTGTGAGACACAAGGTAATAGTCAGCTTTCATTGCATTACAGATACTATTTATAAAGTACTTTTTAATATTCTATCAAGCAATTTTTTTTAATTTATCACATGTACTACTTTCCCCCCTCTTAAATATAAAATTTAATTAATCTGTATACTCTTCATTTTATTTTTTTTTTTTAAAGTTCTTTACTTTCTTGAAATATTTTGATACACTTCATTTGTTATGATGGATAATTGAATTAAAGAAGAAATTCCGCCAAAAATAAATCAATAAATCGAAATATAGTGCATTTTTGCCATATGATTCCTTTTGCAATAAGATTTTAATGGAGATGAAGCGCACTTTAATAATTCTCTTTATATATTAAATTCTTTCCAGTCGTACTGTAGATAAATAAAACCAAACCATAGGAGTATACTAGTAATTAGAAGATGAAGATTGATGGAATAATGAATATATCTATAAATTTCAATTTAGTTCTACAAAACAGTTTACAAAGACATAGTCTCCATACAGAAAAAACGAACACTTTGGTGAATGACCTTGATCTTCATTGACTGTATTATGCTAAACATATTTAATATTTTATCTTTATCCTCCCTAAAACTTATGCACTATACAACCATTTTTTTAGTATATTAGTCTGCTCAAATGATTTTTTTTCAATCTTTAATAGAGATCAAGTTAAAGATACAACGTGCTTATTAAATTAATTTTGATTTAATGAGAGGGTGGCTGATAAATTGATCTTGTATCATTACAGAGTCCTCTAACTGTTCCCCTAACCCGTGTCAGAATGGTGGTACCTGCTCAGACATTGGTTCTACGTATAGTTGTCAGTGTACATCGTCTTGGTCGGGTTCTACATGCCAGACACCGGCTACACAAAGTAAAAAAGGAGTACTAGTAAAAATTGTATCTACTAACTGTAAACATTATAATAAAAAATAATATACATGTACAATTTTGTAATGAAGTTAGTTTCGCAAAATCGTTTTCCCTTTTTTCCTTTGAGTTGAACAGTGAATTTAAAATGATGTAATACCATATTTATATCATTCTATTTTCAGCTAACAGCGATATGTGTGGTTTTGAAACCTCAATGTGTCTCACTAACTACAACGATAACGATGTCGATTTTAAAAGGGTGTGTTTTCAATATTTCATATTTTCGATTCATTCAAGAATAACTAAGAAATCATGTTTGAAATGAAGTATGACAAATTATTCTTAAAAGGTTTTGTGCGTTTTGTAGTATAACTCTTTTAATATGAATGGCGTGATGGTACGAGCACCAGAAGGGAATGTATTTGCTGCAGCTTTTGCCGGGTACACAGCTAACACACAGTATGCTTACCTGTTTTCAAATTACCTTCCAGGTGAGTGTTCAATATGCTAATGAGCGTTTCCTGTTGTAGTTGTTAAAGACAACAAAACAATAGAAAAAGCAACATAACATGCAAACAGATGATACACACTAACAGTTGTGTAAATACTGTAAATCACTTTAATCGCCATAACTTTATTTTAGCTTAAATACACAAGTCTGCCAGCTCGTGAAAAAAAATATTCTAGTGAATATTTTTGATGCTAAGAATTATGTATAATAATTACAACCGCTCGCGAAAATTCCGTCTCATTCATTCATAGCAGACAGCTGTCTCTAAAAACGAACGTGTTGCGATAACATAGTGAGGAACAGTATTATGTGATGTTATAGCATTTTCCTCCAGTATAGACCCTTTTCTTCTGCCATATTTTGCCTAGGAGTTATTACCCATAGCCGTCATATGTTTTGTTTTGACATATTTTATTGGGTCAAATGGATTGGAAATAAGATTATTTCATGTGTTATGCAAAAAATACATTAAAATATAATAATTATAATATTTTCAAGTTCAATTTGTTACAAATCATTTAAAATCTACATGTTTCAGTAATAAATCTATGGACAGCAGCAAAAATATTAATATTTTTACAGGCAAATCTCTGTCAATATACGTAAATTAGTTCAGTTGTAACCAATTCTTCAAGCATTAAAAAGATTGTTTCTAGCATAATTTTACAAGCAAAAAAATAATGATAAACATATTTTCCACAGGAACAATATATATTGCGTTTATATAGATCATAATAAAGTAAAATTGTGTCTTAGTTTAGTATGAAGTATGTTTGTGTAGGTAAATTCAAGCTAATTAGAGATGGCTTCTGAAATTTACAAATTCATTGTTTCACTCTGGCACAAATGACTTTTTGAAATATACATCTTGGAATAATGAACTGTTCTTTATTGCATTGTATTTTGATACATTTTCATGCTTGTTTGGTACAATATTATTTAAATATTCAACAGGTGTATTTTGAACATAATTTTTGCATAGCCAATTTTAAAGTTCTCTTTCTAAATAAAGTGTTTCAGTAGATGCAAAGATAGGAAGTCCGGTGACAATTCTAGCCGCAGCTAGTTGTACTTTTTCCAGCTTTTCAGAATCTTGTTCAGAGCACCCATCCCATACAACAGAAGCGTATTCGAGCATTGGTCTAATAAATGTAGTGTACAATTTTGAAAGCCGTCATATTGTGCAAACAACAATTTAAAGTTCAATTTGTTATATTATTAATTTTTGACTTAACCACAACCGTAGACCTGAATCTACAAGCATTCGCTATAACATAAAGCGAACTTAGCAAGGTCTTAGCTAAGTCAAACTTGTGTTCAAAATATTTCTTATGAATCACGCTATATATATGTTTTTCCAATATATTGCTACAAAATGGTGTTTTAATTAAATATATATGCCTAAGTTAACGATTAGATTTTGTTTTGAATAATTTAATTTGTTATAAAATACACCGCATATTTGATTAAGTAAAAATACTGAGTGGTCACAAAACGGTGATCTGTGGTTCATTGTAAATGTAACTTTGTTTATCCCCCGACAGTTTTCAGTTACCGTTTATTGTTCTTTTGTTTTGACAAATGTTCACTTGCTTTGTTATTCTCGTAGACAGGACAAGAAACGGTAGATTAAAAAAACTCTAAAAAAGTTTGAAATATAAAATGTCAGCAAGCAAAGACTGCAGTAATTATAATTATTCACAATTTCATCAAGAGTGGATTTGTTTCAGGGGATCTCTCTCTCTCTCTCTCTCTCTCTCTCTCTCTCTCTCTCTCTCTCTCTCTCTCTCTCTCTCACCCACCTTAAGAATTTTAAATGTTCTCAAAATAGTATTTCATAGGAATAATTATTTTCTTTAATGCATAATATGAATAGAGGAATGCATTAACACCGAAAATCAGCATAAAATAGTTTTGAATAGATGTATAAGAAAGTTAAGATATACTTAAGCCACCTCTTCCGACCGCCTAAGTTTTGCTAAGATTGTCAAATCTTAGCACGCTTCTAGTTACGGTCTTAAGTTTTAAACTTAAGTCCTAAAGCACGGTATAAACTGATTTATGTTACGTATGAAGTAAACGTAACACTAAAATATACGTTTGTTATAGCCTATATTAATTCATAATTTTAAGACTGTAAATATTTCCCCTATATATTTCTTGCATGCGTAATTAAAATTGGTTGCTCAAAGAGGTAAATTCACTAATTAGCTTCTGAAATTTCCACAGCTTTCCTTGACTGTTGAAATATACATAGGACAGAAATTCGGCCGAATGTCAACTGGTGTAGTAACTAGCCAATTAAAAGTTCTCTCACGGAACAGAGGTGGGGCATAAGTCGTCTCATCGTTGTCAACAACAATCTAAAGTTCCTGATATTATTAATTTCTTAACCAATGAGAATCTACAAGTATTCGCTATTACGTAGCGCCGAGAATGCCACGCCCTACTGAAAGTCCAAACTAAGGTGAAAATCGTCCTAAAACGTTTTGAAAATTGAAATTTAGAAGTTTGAAGTGAATTTTGAAATATCAAAAGTCGTAAAACTGTACTGAACTTCAGATTGTTAAGCGTAAACTTTCTAAACAAACGGTAGATTAAAAACTCAAAAGTTTGAAATATAAAATTGGTTTTTGGAAATTTGAATTTTAAATGTTTAAGGGTCCCTGAAACACTTAACAATTCAAGTTTTTAAAAATGATTTAGAGTTTTAGAATGTTAACATATAAGTTCAAATATCTAACTTTTAAAAACTCAAACTGATTTGGTATATTGAAAATTAATATTTTAGTTCAAAAATCTAAATTTTCAAATTTTCAAACAGGTTTTAAAATTTTTTTCAGTGGATATTTTAGATTTAACTTAATAAATGTTCAAAATCCAAATTTCCAAGAACGATTTTTGTATACACGGACCCTTTGCCCTACAAGATGGCGGCTAAAGGGAATAACTACTAGTCAAAATATGTCATAGGCAAAGGGTATATTTTTGTTTCGTTGATGAAACGTAAATTTGCCGTTTCAATTTGATGAAATTGAAGTAGATATGTCACCCCCCCCTCTTTTCAGATAAAGCCATCAAAGTGACATTCCAGTATAGGACAGTGGGAGCTGCCAGGATTTCCTTTGTGTACAAACAGGACGGGAAGGATTATACAAGGCCTTTTTCATATTATAACAGCAATGGTTCCTGGCAAACCTGGAGCGTGAGCATACCCGCCGGGAAAAACACATACGTAAGGATAATTTCGAAATGCATTGAAATCAATATCTGCACTTTATTTGGGTTGGTAGGTTTTTGTCAACCGTTTGTCGGTGTGTCTGGTGGAGATACACCCACAAGATTGTCACACGGTTGTGACCGTTGAACTTGGCAACAGGGGATGCTTATTCCTCCTAGGAACCTGATCCTACCTCTGAAAGTTCCAGGGGTCGGTGTTTTGTGCTCTCTTTATATTTTCTTTATGTTCAAAGATTTTTATTAAATCGATCATTGTTCGTTATATTTACCTTCACATCAAAAACACGTAACAGCATTGCTATCACCAGAATATTATTTCACTTCACTTTGTCAAGTGTACGGAACAATTCATTGATGAAGGAACAATGTAGTTCGACTTCAAAATTATTGATTTCCTTCAGTTATGAACCCATTTCTTTTTCAGTTTTACTTCCAAGCTGATCTGAGCTCATACTCCTTGGTTGGCATTGACGATGTCAAGATAGAATACTGAAGGTGAGAAGGATTTCGAATATGATATCCATCAGGTTTATCCTTCATTCTTTTTTAAATCTATGTTTAAATCCCTGTTTTAATATTTGCAAAAAGACAAATTCAATGCTTTGGATTCTTGAAATTAACATTTTTTCTCAAATAATTTTTAATAATACTTTTTTTCTGGTGAATTCCTCATTTGCGCAAGTGATGAACAATGCATAAAGACAGTCGGTGCTATAATTGCAATTTTTGTGATCACATCATAAATGAGAAAAAAAAAATTATGTTAATTTTTTCGTAAGTATATTGACTAGATTATATATATTGGATATATCAAGCATTAAGTCTAAGAAAACTCATATATTCTAATATTATACCAATTTTTTACTTCTACAGGCGACATTGTGACAAGAGATCCTTTACATAGAAGACGGATATAAAGAAATTCAATAACTTCATTCATATGTATATGACTTTCTTTAGAAATTGAAATTGTCTGTAAAATAATATTCATCCAGATTTTTAATGTTAATAAAATATGCTTGCTCATTGCTCTGTATTTGTACTATTGTTATTTCATCGTCTAATTTTTTTATCTATAAAGGAGGGGACATTTACATATTTTAAAAATGTTCGGGAAAAACAGAAAAATCCATAAACAATTCAGTGTGGAAATCATGGCCTAAACATTCATCATCATTTTACTTAATAATGGGTTATATTTGCTGACGATGTCATTGTATCAAAATTCCCTTATTATCTGCATTAGCGTTATGTCTCTCAGTTGATTTTATACTAAAGAGCATGTTCTAATATGAACAAATTTCTAAAACGAGAAAAGCTTTTAAATAATTGGTGAAAAAGAATATCTTCAATCTCGTTTAAAGTCATCATTTTGCAATTTCTATGGTCGATAAAAAGAGCTTTCAGGAAATACCCCGGTACAATCTATCATTAGGGTAAATACAGACTGACCATTTTCAGGACACGGCAAGCGAAGCCGATTGGCAGGGGATGTTAACTACCCCATAGCACCTAATCCCAAGTCTAATGTAAGAGTGGTCCCTGTTTGCTCGGTTCCTGATTTGTTTTGTTTGAATGAACTTTTGAGCTTGAATACTGAATATTCTGATACTGACTTGTAAGAATTTAGTTTTAATTTTGATTTTCATTTAGAGGATTATTAATCAGAAATAATATATAAACAAAAAAAAATATGTAAATGTAACTCGTTGTCTGTTTAATGGTACTTAACACACAAAAAATGGATGCATGGATTGATATAATTATATTTCTTGAATGACTTTGATTTGAAATGACATAAATAATAAATCCCTAAAATATAAAGATATCGCAGGTTTTCCTTGGTGCTTAGATATGAGACTTTTTTGCCTTCTGTATAATTCAATATAAATTTAGTATAATTTTTTAACCTAATGACAAAATCTTACACAATTTTCCCATTATACTTGGTAAACATTATTCAGGTTACCAATTTAAATGTAAATCTATGAGAAATATTGCTGATTTCTGAAAAAAGTTTGTGTTATTTATTCTTAAGAAAAAGCCTATGCTCAATGTCCTTTACAACAGCCTGCAAAAAGATAAGCTAATATTGTATTTGTTTCTTTTCTATTATTCATGTAAATGTTGAAGTAGCTGGTATAGAAACAAAAGACACAGATCAATCAAAAAGAATCCTTAGAAATCCTGATCACATGTTGCTTTGCCGAGTTTCTCTTTTATCCTACAAAACGAGTGTTTTTGTACGTTTAAAGCATTTAACTGGTGAGTAAAGATCTTTTATCCTAATTTGTAGACGCAAATTAGTAATTTATCACAGTCCTACTTGATTATGAAAAGAAAACAGTTATTTCATTCTTGTTAAAGACAGATGGGGATTTTCTATGTGGATATTGTGAGAGAAAAATGAGCAAAAATTTCATTATGTTACTTAATATGTCTCTTTTTGAAATGAAAAAAAAAATAATAACAATAAGGCATTTTACGAATATATCTCGCTAAATAATAGAGTAAATTGTACCACAATCTGTATCAGATTGCTAAAATCGAATTGCAGAAATATTTTTTAAATCCTTATAATTTTGTTTTTCTGCTCTTTATACCGGATCTATATTTTACGACGTCAAGCGTGACGTCGCAATATTTTATGACGCCGTTCTTAAAATTGTTACATATTCAATATAAAAGCAATTATCTACAATTAAATTACCAGAAAACGAACCCGAAGACATATTAACTTTTTCACGTAGATTTATTTTAAAATAACAAAGGAGAAACAAATTCCTGTGCATCATTTATAAGTTATTATTTTTTTTCTAATCTATACCTTGCTTAAAAACAAGCCAAAAATGACGTTTTTCCTACACAATGCAGTAAGATAACGTCGATGTTCCTACAATAGAAGGGTTGGAATTAAATGAGACAAAAACAGTGCAGAGGAATTTCATAAAATTTTCAGAAAATGGAAATCAAAGGTAAAGGAATCATATAACCAATTTTCATGGTATGTTTTCGGACACTTTTAAAAGGCCTGCAAACCCGCGATCTACGTTACGTGAATAAATAGTTCATATATGTTAGGTTCGGCTTGTTATTGAAAAGCTATGTAAAAAAAATGTTTCTTGTTTAATTGTTTAAGTTGATTTGTCTGAAATTATGTAATCCATAAAAGATTAAGATTCTTAATTGTTTTGAACAAAGATTGAAAAGGCAAACATATCGTTTTGTAGTGGAAAGCTCATATTATTATTGTATTTGTCAATGTAAGATGACATATATAGCTAAATATATACATGTTTTCCCCAAGGTTTTTTTTTTTTACTAAATTAATACATGTACTAGTACATGTACTTCTTCAAGAAGTTTCCTTACAAATCATCAAGGGTATATCTAGCATCGATAACTGTGACAAATTTCAACGGATGGTACGTCTTCTTCATAATTCACTGGAAATCACTTATTTTGCTGGTAAAAATTTATTTGGATTATAAATTTTACAAAGAAAGCGAAAAAAGTAGTGATAAATATTTTTTTAATCATAAAAGAACAAAAAGACCCTAGATACTGAGTAATGTACCACCAAATCCATATTTTTGTTCTGTCAGCATTTGAATTGAATCTTTTCCTGTGTGACATGTGCCTTTCACAGGATGATTTGTAACTTCCACCATTACAGATGGTGTCCGCCTGTATAATCAATGTCTTGTTGGGGGTGACCAGTGAGGCATTGCTCGATATAGATTTCATTTTTGCTTCTCAATAAAAAAAAGGAAAGGTTTCCTGTACTTGATTGTTTATATTGCAATGAAGATTAACATTACAAATATTTATAATTGGTAATAAACATGCTGAAATAATGTGATTTTTCCTTGTAGATGTTTATTCATAGGAAAAATTCAATAATCTTTAGCTCTACTGGTCAGAGACCAGAAGAGCTTATGCGATAGTAATGCGTCCGTCGTCCGTCCGTCTGTCTGTCTGTCTGTAAACATTCTTTCAAAATGCTACTCCTCCTACAGTTTTGGTCCGATTTCAATATAGCTTGGCACACAAGTAGACTATACTAAGATACTTAATTATGTGCATCGATTTTTATTTTGATGAGCGGCAATGATAATTTTATCTATATTTGATATTTATTTCTGTTTTAAAGTTTTAAGTCCCAACTGCTACTTTTCTCTTCCTTTGTTATATTAAGTATAAACCAGTAGAGCTACAGTCTCGACAGAGACTTCTGGTTTTCTATGAATCAGATATTCAATATCAGATATAGAGTTTCAAATATACAGTCAAAGTAGCAAAAATGAACAAAAATAATCCTTAATTTATGCGATGTATGAAAGGACAGTCAACCCCCCACCCCCCCCCTAACCCTGGAATCGATTACAAAAGTTTCATTACTATCAGATTTTCCCGTTAATACTAATTTAGAATGAATTTTTGTCCATCAGAAATTGTCAAAAAGTGAGCAAGTGCTCTTCTTTAAATTACACATATGAAGTCATATCTTTGATTGTGTTTGTAAACAACATTCAAAGTGGTTTAAAAAAAAAACATCATAAAAATTAAATTTTTGAAATGAAGGATATGGAGATAACGAACAGTATTCAATATCGAAGTCCTTAAAACAATGCAAAATAGGAGCAGAGCAAACACAGACCTCCGAAACATCAGAGGTGGGATCAGGTGGAGGAGTGAGCATCCCCTGCCGAATATAATTGATGCGAAAAGATGTTGAAATTGCTTGAATGTAAATTTTTCTGTTTTGATTAGGAATAGCCGTGTGTGAATGAAATATTTTCTGTGTAAAAAAACAATGCTGTTAGTCTCCGTAGGATTGCTGATATGCTTTGTTGGAGCTTGGTCCAAGGAAGGACCCAAGGTAAGTTATTCTTTCAATCATCATATAATATTATAACTTCCAGTACTAGTAACTTTTATATTAATTTTTGGAACTTCCATGCACAATATAAAAAAGATATTTTTCGTAAAATATCAATGTTACAAGTTTTACCTTCGCATAACTTCTACTACAATACCATGTATATTATTCATGGAAAAAAGTGGTTAAACTGTATATAGTCAAAGTATACTTTGCATTCCGTAAACTCTGTGCACAAAATTATCTGCTTACCGCAAAATCTGTACATAAAATCATCTTCTTGGGATTTGCTTTTTTACAATGAAGCCAAAAAAAAAAAACATCCATAGCAATATACAAACATAAAGGAAAACAAAACGTAAATGAGAATTTTATACTTATTTTGTTATATTTAAAACACCAACATTCCATATGACTCTCACTTTTATTTCTCCAGCAATTCATTATTTCTGTAAAATTCTAACTATAACTATAGGGTCCTGTTAGAAGAATACTGAGAAAGAGAGAAGTCAACGAAAATGAAGAATTTCTAAACGCTCATAATGAAATGAGAAGGATCGTAAGTCCCTCGGCTACTAACATGAGAGAAATGGTAAGACGTTCATAGAAACTATGTAATCATTAAAAATAAATGAGACGGTACAAAAATAATTAAATTTCATTCGACTAATGTAAGTCAGCTAAAGCATTTATGAAGATATTCAATTTTCCATTAATTTAGAGTGAAACTACGCGTTCATCCAAATGCTAGAATACCGATAATCATTGTTTCTGATTGCTTTAACAGGTTTGCATAGTACATAAAAAGTTTTAGGTCTATTTTATTTTCCCCGAATACATATATATTATGAGCTGAAATATAAAGTTTCTCGTATTTTAACTTTTTAAAACAGAAATGGAGTGAAGAACTTGCCACCGTTGCCTATAACTATGCCAGCCAGTGTGTCTTTAGACATAACTCGGAAAGATCAAGACAATCGGCAACGTTTAATTATGTCGGAGAAAATATATACATTGGCACATATGGTTGTATTATTTAAATTATTTTGAATATTAATAAAAGTTAGAAGTTTGTAGAATTATAGTTGAAAAAAAATTGAAAGGCAAAATTTGAGTATATTCAGTTTCCCTTGTCATTAAACGTTACGTATATGAGTGTCAACCGACCACACAGTGACTAATATGTTCTGTCAACTTTTCGTTTTAATACTTCAATTAAGAAATAAGGTATCATTTTTAAACATCTATCGGGATATAAATACGGGTCGGTCACGAGATTAAATTCCATAAAGCCCGAAGGGCTTTTATGATGAATTTAATCTCGTACCGACCCGTATTTATAGCCCGATAGATGTTTTAAAATGATACCTTATTACATATATTTACATTTGTGACTAATTCATACTTTATATTTGCATAATTGTGACTTTTAACATGTGAAATGCATTATTTTTCAAACCCAACGGCATGTATGTAATTCACTGAACGCGCGTCAACCCTTTATGACGTCACTGAGAAATTACGTCAAACGGTTATCCAAACGCACATCTATGACCTCTCGACCCCATACCTGTATTTATACAGTTATAGATACGCATTCCTTTCAGTAGTGTTATATAAAGGAAAACATTTGCAAATGTAAATATAAGGGTATAGACACTAATGTAAACATTAATTAACCGTATAATATTCTCAACAATTCAATTGTGCTTTTTTCTTTTGTTCATCATAATAGTCTACCAGCACCTTACATGAGATGTGATACATCTTATATTGTAGATTCAGCATCATTCTCTGTTACCCTATGGGATAACGAAAAACATGTTTACAATTTTTCATCAAACACTTGTACAGGGGTTTGTGGGCATTATACGCAGGTAGATTCAGTTTAAGTCTTTAATTCCCTCTTTTTTCCCCTCCTTCCTATCACTTTTATGCTCTAGACGTAAATTTACCTCACTAGATTTGGTTCTAAGAATATGGAAATTGTAAGCTATAGTGATGGATTAGACCTGCTTCTTAAAACTACATGTATGCTTGTTAAATACATTTCCTTCTGATATCAATTTATATGCAACCTTTCAAATAAGATCTTTGTATATAATATAAGTTTTCATAATATTTCTTCGTTAAGGTAGGCCCATACTTTTACGGATCCGGTTTTAATTTTACACATCAATATAAAATTCTGATTATCACTTGTCTTTTGAAATAAGATCTTTTGGGGTGATTGAAAATAATTTAGCAAGTATATATTTGTTTATTATAGTGTTATTGTGCATTCAAAGCATTTAATATACATTATTTATGGAAATTAACGCTTTGCACTCTGTCCATAAGATCTATATGTCACTTGGTACATACACAGACACAAAATTCTTAATTGCTTTTATGGACCCAGACCTTTTTAATTTTCTTCTTAGCAAACTAACCTGAGATCTATTTTTTATTGATTTTAAGCCTATATCATCCATTTAATTTTTATTTTTAAAAAATTTTGCAATGAATGATTGAAAAAATTGATTTTCCAAAAATGTCTTTAAAAGACTATTTTGTCAAAATTCTCTGGTCAACCATAATAAAGTATGTGTTTCTGTTAATTTTAGATATAATTCTTAATAGTTTTAAAGAAAAAATGGCATCTAAACAATTTGGATTTTGAGAATTATAAAAAATAAAGATATTTTGAGATTTTTTCTGAAAGACATGGATAGATTCAACATATGTTTGTTAAGTGTTTTGCAGTAAAAATTTCAAATATTCTCTTGGCAAATGAATATTTTTGATCTTCATAAGTTTTAACATAAATTTGATGTGATTTGGTGCATAACTAAATATAATATGATATCACAAATCTTTATGTCCAATTTTGGCTGTTGAGTTTTTAGAGGCATGTGCTCTGAGACATGTTGTATGAAAATTAACCTGCAAAGATGTATCTTTTATTGGTGTTTTAGTTACTTTAAGACTTATTTAAGGTATTTAAATGAAAAAATTATCAGTTTGACAGAAAATTCTAAAAGTACGGGCCAACCTTAAGGTGTTGAAACGTATATGAAGTATAAAGCAAGATCAAATTGACAAATGGAGAGTTATCAGGGGAAGCAATTTGAATTTTTATGCGAATATAATAGATATTTCACAGGTAGTGTGGTCTGAATCCGAATATGTAGGCTGTGCAAAAGTACTCTGTGGAAATTATTACCTCATAGTTTGTAACTACGGACCAGGGTAAGATGTACATACATACCGTATAAGCAGAATTTTTAGCAAGGATTAAAGAAGTCGGTTCACTTTATGCATAAAATGGCCCTGTAGATATACCAATAAATTGATCAACACTTGCTTTTCTATTTTAAGCATTAAAATAAAATAGAGACTTGGTGCTTTCATATCCTATTAAAAATTTTCTTCTAAAAGTCCAGGTATAGGAAAACGGGCTTTATGAAATTGCAATGTTCTTGAATTTTTAGGTAAACAGGTATAATTGAGTACTTTCAGTGAAGAAAAATAATATGAGCGCACTCTCCGATCTAAAAATTTAAACATGTCCATTAATCCTCAGAAACAGTTCTATCATTTACTAGTTGCATATTTTAGATCAGAGGTTGCGCTCCATATCAAATATCAAAAAATAGCTTTAAAAATTGGCCATTTTTGTAGACTTTTTCAGAATATGAGAAAATTGACGCATTTCGTGACGCCATATCGCATTGACTAGCCAAAAAATGACGTCATTTTTGATAGATACGCAGTCACCAAAGATCTAAGTGATATTTAATGCATTGTTCACAAAAACTATGCAGTTTCAGTTTTTCAGAAATTCACAGGGCCAAATAAGGCAAAAGTGAACCTTGTTCTTTTGGCATTTTAAGCGAGGGTGCTGAGATCGCTAAAATTAGAAATCGCTAAAAATTAACTGCGTTTTATTTGTAATAATTTCTTTAGCTAAAAATAAAATACCAGTTTTTTTTAATACAAATCGCTAAATTTGCGTCTCGCTAAATTTTTTTTACTTATACGGTTTTACATTACACAAATATGTATTACTTATCTTCTTAATAGGTAAAGGTAAGAAACCTTTTCTCTTTTGTTAACAGTGGGAATGTTAACAGTTTGCGTCCCTTCACAGACGGGGCAACCTGTTCCCAGTGTCCTCCTAAATATACTTGCAACAAAGGACTATGCAGCATTTCAAGTAGGTACTGGTATATGAAAAAGATAACAGGCATTTTTTTCTAATTTCAAAAAATAAGAAGGTACTGTAGATTCCTAAATATACGCCCCGAGGAATCAATTAGCGTCATTTCACGAAATAAAATTTCTCATTTTATCCCTTTTATTTCCTCCATACAAAGTCTTTTGATCAACCATTTCATCACGAATTGATGTTCCTACCATGTGATTCTCTTAAGATAAGAAATCTACAATTTGAACAAAATGTTGTTTGTTTCTTTCCTTTGTTTTGTATTTGTTTTGTATACTCAAAAGTCGTCATAATGACTTTGTTAGTAAATTCAACCTATCATTGGGTTATTTTGTTAACATTCTATTGTGCTATTAAAATGGAGACAAGAGTCGCAATGGTTTTTCAAATCCGCTTAAAAGAGGTCCTCAAAATGTGCACTTTGAAATATTTTAACTCCAAAACACTTCTTTCTAAAGGTTTTTCCGACGAAAGTTATGAAATATCCAATAGCTCAGATACCTCTATAAAAATAAATTTATCAACTTCATAAATCAATCTTTCAAAGAATTTCTTTCTAGCCTTTCCTTCCTCTGCACTATAATGAAACCAAGCGATACATAACCACTTTTTTGGTTCTATAGACAGTTAGACAATGCACTAAAATTATTATACCCCCGCTTGAAAAGCGGAAGGGTATATAGTAATTGGGATGTCCGTGCGTTTCTCTGTCTGTTACGCGTTTGGGTACCCATCTCCTAACTGTAACTCCTCTTTTACCACATGATGAAATTTGATGAGACTTTTAGAGAATCTTTATTACATCATCCCATTGTGCACCTCCTATTTTACTTTTTACTTCTATTTATGGAAAACCCAAAATATGTGTCGGATTAAATGTAAAGTGGAAGATTCTGTGAAAGTCTTTTTTATTTTATTCAGTGGTATGAGATAAGTTGCGGATAAGAGATTGATACCCCAAAGCATAACAGACAAGCTGACGGACGGACAGACATCCCGATTACAATATACCCTCTCGCTTTTCAGGCTGGAGTATAAAGCATTGCGTTCATTCCTATGTTTCTCTGCAAATACTTGCTACCCTGTGTATAAACGGATATTCTGAAATTTTTAATAAAGCACAAACACTCCTCCACTGCAACTTTGAAGCTACTCTTTGCTTGGATAACTATGATTATAACGGCGTGAATTTCTTCCGAACTACAGTAAGTAATCTTCTTTAAAAAAAAGTAACAGCGTTTAGATTTTTATTTGCATTTTATAGATGATAATTCTTGTTATTGAATACATATTTACTATATGAAATGCTTTTGATTAACATAAAAGTTGCCAATTAAGTAGAAACGTGCGCTATATTACTTATCAGGCTTGTTATAAAGAATAAATAACTAAATGCATTAACGTTGAATTTATTTCAGGCCTTTCCTGGAATTCGAAGTACTCCAGAGGGAAATTACTTTTCCATGTTAGCAAGTTTTTCTAAAACACAGCACACTGCATGGTTCTTATCAGAGGAACTGCCAGGTTTGTTATTTCTGAAGTGCAGATAGCTAGGGGATTAAATGCTTGAAAATTATTTTATATGACACCTACATATAAGAAAACATTTCTGGTATATAAAATTAGAAAATTAAAAAAATTGAATAAGAGATAAAGCAAGCAAAGCCAAGATTTATGAAGATTATTACTTGTTTCATTATATATCAAAGTATCTTGGCTTTTAAATTATGCTTTTCAATCAATAAATCTTCTCAACTTTTCTGCTTTAAGAAATCTCGTACATTCAACATGTCAATTGACAAGGTCATCTGGAATATAACATTTCCAAAACCGACCATTACTTTGAAAAATGATCCTTCATTTTTCTTACATCTTATATTTCTTATATATCTAAACTAATCTTATTTTAAGACAACTTGCTGTATTAAAGTGCTTGGAAATGCTTATGTGAAATATAATACCTGTATAATGTTTTGTTAATTTTGCACATGTAAAAGATCCACCCAACCTCAGACGTCGTTCAAAATGCAGTACTAGGTCATCTCAAAATAAATTTTGATCTCTGTACAATATAAAAGAAAAATCGATGTCTTAAAACCAATAAAGCATCAAAACGTATGTGAGATATATATTCGTATCAAATTCAATCAATGTAGCTGTTTATTCCAGATGTTTCAGTGCGAGTTGAATTCAATTACACATCCACCGGAGACGGGGAACTATTTTTTTCGTATGGTCAGGGAGAACCAGTTAAATGGTTCACCCGATTTTATACCAGGGGTGATAATGGAATATGGAAAGCCTCAAGTGTCGAAATACCAGCAGGTCTTAAAACATTTGTAAGTTTGGACAATTAATTTAATATTACCAAATATAATTAAAAATTAAGATATTGTTTTGAACAAATACCGGTTTATAACTTATCAAAGCCCTTATAGCCAAAAATCGTTGATAGAATCACATATAAATCTATTAATATAAAAATAAGACAGGATATCTTATTGCATTAATTTTAGCTCATATATTCATGTAAATGTAACTTAAATGTAAATCAATTCCGATGGACACTTGATGTTCTTTTATTAGCATTTTTTATACTTTAAAAGCTGAGTATGAGTATATTTCAAAACTTGTACAAAAGAAGGAGAAAACTTTTGCTGTAGTCTTTAACTTACTTTTGATCAA